GGCAATTTGGCTCGGCAGGGTCGTGTACAGGATTTGTACCAGGGGGGTCTAACCGTAACCGAAGTTGCTAGCACGCGAAGGGGGGGTCTGGGGGCCCTCCCCCAGAATTTTTTTAAAATTACACCCCTCAGATGCGTTTTCTGCGCGAGCAAGGTGGGGTCGGACTCCCTGTACACGCCCTGCTCGGGCGCGAAGCGACCAGGCGAGGGAGCCAAGCGACCAAGCGGGGGGAGGGTGCGGGAGGGGTGTTCACTGTTCACGCTCCCGCACGATGGAGATTTTGCAATTATTACACTAAAATAGAGCGACCTGAGGTGAAATTCTTGCAAATTTTCAAAATTTTTTTTTTTACTTGGGGCCGGGGGGGGTTCGTTCGAACCCCCGAACCCCCCTGGCTACGGGCCCGCCCCACACTACCAATAGCCAGTAGAAATGAGTAGTCCATTTCTGCCCGCCATAAAAACTATCGGATTGTACCATTACCCTGGTAATTGTAGGGGTGATTAGAGTTATTTTTTAGTGTCAAAAATAAAAACTACAACAAAAATATCTAGACGTCATTAAACAACTTACATTTTATTTAGTATATCAAATTTATATTAATACCATATATTTATCACGGACTTCTGTAGTGGGAACTTAGATTTACGGCTTTCTTAGTTTCTAAAACGTGTGAAGAAAGAATAAACTGGCTCTTAGTCGACGTTGCTACCAGCATAATTGCTAGCTCTGGAAAAAAAAGTAGCCCTGGAAAGTGGAAAAAGAGATCCGGAAAATGAAAAAGTAGCCCCGCAAAATTTTGAGGGATGTGCAAAAAGAGCCCCGGAAATAAAAAAATTAATTTTTTCCCTGCTAGCGATGCCATTTTACAAGCAGGACGAGGCAAGTGCCGCACTAACTGAATCCTGATTCCGTGTTATCAGAGCTAATAGTTAGGCATCCAAACACCAGTCAGTTAGCCAAAAAAAATAAACAAATAATTTTTCTTCCGAGCTGTTGGCGGAACAAGCCGAAGTGTTTTGCGTAGTTTTGTTCCATCCACTCTCTTATAGTCTTTCAGACATGCTATAACGGACTGATGTCCATCTATAAGAGTTGAAGTCAGAATGTGTTCAGTTACTATTGGCAACGTAATCATGGATAAGCGTAGGGCTTTGGAATTATTTTTACCGGTGCGACTGATCCACGTGAGAAAGAACGACAGCAAAAATGTGAAAAAGGGAAAGAGTATGATCAATACAAAACGAACGAGAGCATTTCTGAGCAAATGGCTCACTCAGTTTAAGTGGCTTTATTATGGTAGAGTTGCCGGTGCCTGACAGTGGCAGCACTTCCAAGTCAACTGAATGTACACCGACCGTTGGCGTTTGTAATGATGAAGAAGGGTGAGATTAATAGATTAGCACTCAGAAAGTATAGCAAGCATGCAAAATAGTATGTAAATGTATTTATTAACTGCTCTAGTGCGCTAAGTTATGTATTCATTTCTTTTTTTGTGTGGTAAATAAACTAAACTATTTAATTCACAATTTTGCAATTCTTGTCTCACTCTGTATTGTATATGTGTGGTAACCAGCATTGTTCGATTTGACTTTTTCTTAGAATGTGATGGTGTGCTTAACATGTCATCATTTCTTGCCGGATGGGGACAAGCAGAAAGTCATGCAGCGTAGCGGCAAAAACAACTTTTTACAAGGGTCCATAAACTTTCAAATACATGTGCTGAAAGACCATGAAGAAACAGCCACTCACCAGAAAGCAGCTTCCTGATGCTTGTGGCTGACAGAAGAGGGGCTACCTCTAAGTGTCTAACTGCAACTGCGCCAGAATGTACATAGTGAATGTAGTACTAGTACTAGTAGCGACTGTGCTCAAACTAAAGAGCTACCTGCAGAGACTGCATGGCAATGCTGCATGAAAAATCAAGCGCGTGTGTCAGTATTCTCTTCAAGAATGCGCATGCCATTGCAAAGCAGGGGCGTCCATATTCTGATTTTGAATGGCTATGTAAACTGATATTGCCAAAGGAGTTGACATAGGCTCAACGTACCACAACCACACTTCCTGCACGACGTTTGTTCTCTTCATTGCTGAAGATCTGCGGCTAAAACTTGAGGAAGAAGTGCAAGCTGCAATGTTCTTTTCTGTCCCGTTGATGATAGTACAGATAGTAGTATCAGCGAACAACAAATTATTTACGTTCAATATGCAATTGATGCATATCTCATGTTTGTTTTGTATCTCTTGAAAGTGTAGAGAGAGCTGATGCTATTACATTGCATGCAGCCATCCATAATGCTTTCAACAGGGAACTACATGTAAGTAATGAGATATTTTGTCGGAAGATTGTTGGCTTTGCGAGCGATGGTGCAGCTGTAATGGTTGGAGTAAGGAATGGCGTTGCCACTCTACTGAAACAAGAACAGCCATCACTTGTAAGCACTCACTGCATGGCCCATCGTGTTGAATTAGCTATTAAAACGGCTAACCAGGCTCAGCCATATCAACAACAAGTGGATTCACTCCTGCTGACAATATATCTGTTTTACCACCAAGTCCACTAAAAAAGACAGATGCTGAGACGTGCAGCTGAAGCTGAGGGATGCAAGTTTCTTATTCCAACAAGGGTAGGGGGCACCCGATGGATCTCACACACAAAGCTGGCCCTTGAGCATACTCTTCAGATGTACAAACCTCTAGTTCTTCATCTGCAGCAGTTGAAGAATGGGACAACAACACAGAAATTGGCTAAGCAAAAGGCTGCAGCAATATTGAAATTACTAGACACTTCCAAGTTTGTGCTGTATGCGCACTTCCTCTTAGACTGTTTAAATGTCCTTTCCGAACTATCTCTTATCTTGCAGAGTAGGGGCACAGACATAAGTGTTGCATTCAATGCAGTTGATGCAGCAATCGTAATGCTTCAAAAATATAAAACAAGAGATGGTCCCAAACTGAAAGATGCATACAAGATGATGGATGAGACAACTGCACCGACAGCAGCAGAGATAGAGGTATTCAAGTCTGCAAAAGCAAAGCATGTGGATGTACTTTTAAGTGAACTGGAAAGGAGGTTTCCCATTAATGGAAACATGTTGCAAAACATTTCACTCATTTTGTACATCAAGCATGGGAGCCCCGCCATCCTAAAATGCACCCGCCACTCTAAATATCATAGCCGCCATGCTAAATATCATAGCCCCCGGACCCCCTAGCACGCAAACCGCCTTCGGCGATTTGCAACTAGGACCGTAAAGGCAGCACCCGCCATGCTATAATGAAAAAGCTTGGAGAACCCTGCGTACACGCCTTTTCTTGATTGCAATTGCATCGCATTCTGAAATTGAATTGCATCAGTAACATTTCTGTTGCTCGCCTCTCTTCTTTCTTCTCTGTTCTTGTCCTGAAATGATGAGACTAGATTATTATCTGCCATGCGGCTGATCATGCTTCGTTTTGTCCAGCAGACATTTACGATAAGAAGCTGTCGCAGTTGTCTGACCTGGAGCTAAGCTCGAGCAGCGGGGAGGAGGACTATGATGAAAATGACAAGGATGTAGTGCTGCCCAACCTGGCACCTAACTTTCCCGGAATGAAGCGCAAGAGGGGACGTCCGGCCAAGCATTCCAAATCTGCCCGGCCAACTGTGCCGTTCAACGACCTAGGTGGTCTACTGATGCCGTGTAAGTGTTTTCAATACCTTGTTAAATATATATAAACATAGTTCATTGTCAATAGTTTATAGTTCGATGCAATGCATCCTAATAGAGTGCTCCAGTGCAAGGCTTCTAAAGTAGTTTGGTGTAACTTAGAGCGTAATCGGATGAAATCGGTGTATGAATTAAGGAAGCCCGTAGCTGTTTGCCTATTTAGCTGTTGTAGCTCACTTCTAAATGCCTGATGTCTCTTGTTTCAGTAAAGAGGAAGAGAGGCAGACCTAAGAGAAGTGGGCCACCTCCTCCTCCAACTGTACAGGCGATAATGCTGAAAGGAGCTGATGGTCAGACAATCTTGATGACCCTACCCCAGCAGCAACCCAGCGGACGCACCTTATTGTACGAGGGACAGACAGGTTTGTAACACGTTGATAGACTCCAAGCATCCACGAATGTATTAGGATGACTTTCGACTTGCAAGATCAGACCACGGTCACCACGCACCCATTGGTTAAGTCGACAATGATCGCCATTTGTTAGTACAGCCGTAACTCTGGGCGCGCGGCAGTGCGAAGGCTACACTGATTGCTGTGCTGTGATTGATTTCAGAGAAAATTCCTGTGATTTAGTATGACTTTCGAATTGCAAGATCAGACCACGCACCCATAGGTTAAGTCGAAAAACGGTCGCGATTTCTTAGTACAGCCGTAACTCTGGGCGCGCGGCACTGCGAAGGCTACACTGATTGCTGTGGTGTGATTGATTTCAGAGAAAATTCATGTGGTTTAGTATGACTTTCGAATTGCAAGATTAGACCACGCACCCATAGGTTAAGTCGAAAACGGTCGCGATTTTTTAGTACAGCCGTAACTCTGGGTGCGCGGCACTGCGAAGGCTACACTGATTGCTATGGTGTGATTGATTTCAGAGAAAATTCCTGTGATGATTCAGCAAGACACGGCGGCGGCGGCGCACACAGAAGATGAGCTTGCTGCAAGTGCCCTTATTCAGGAAGGTGAGGAACTGTTGCCGGAACAACGGGAATATGTTCAGAATCATGCCCTTATATAGTTATAAAGAGAGGATCTACGATTGGATGTTGAACGTTGCCAAACATGAGCAGCCCTTCAGTCTCGATTCAACTGCACGATTCCGTCCTGGCCGCACTGTTGAGGTCTAAGAGTTTTGACAGAGTAAATAAGAAGTTTTGAAATGAGGTCGGAATTTTAAAATTCCTGTGGTGATAAGCAATTTGTCGTAATATTCAGCGTTCGTCCCTCAACTTATTAATAATTCATCTGTTGTTCTTTGCTCGTAACAAATGAATGTTTATGACAAACAAAATCGTGACATAATGTTAGAAGCGATAGTTGATCTGTTTGTGATCTTACATGCAAATTTTGTAATTGTTCCTATAGGTGCAGCGGCGACAGACACCACCCCTCTTGTGGACGATGGCCAGTCTCAGTTGATGAGCGTAGTTGCGGGGCCTGCTGTGACGTCTCTGCTTACAGGTAAGCAGGGGTAGAAATTAACTTTTGAACACGGGAGTGCAACGGACTCCCTACCCTCAAAAAGAGGGAGTCCACAGCCAATTGAGGGAGTCCCCAGTCTGACGTTCAAAATTAAAGATGTTAACAATAACGAATGTGCTTATTTTTAAGATCAATGCGGTTGCACGTCTGCCAAATTTTCTTTGGACATTAGCTGAAAAAATACGGTAATTCCGCGAGGCTGTGCTCTAGAACGAACTATAGTTATTAGTTAGTATGGCAGAATTTTCAGGGAGTCACACGGACTCCTGCATATGTCAAATCAGAGAGTCCGACAGTAAATCAGGAAGTATTTGACTCCGGACTCCCGTTAATTTCGCACCCTGGGTAAGCATGACTGTTGCACTGTGCTCACTGAGTTTCTTAATGCAACCGGGTGCAACCTACAGCAGCGGTATGACCCACTGGTAGGAGAGATCAGTAGCTGACTATGAATTCCTGTTTTACCTGTTGGCTAAACATGTAACTTCCATGTTCGCAAACACTATCTGCGAAGATGTAACACATTGTTGGCTTTTTAGTGTTCATTGTCGGCTATAGGCGCGGAATTATGAGATAATTGCTTAATACAGATGCTAAACTAAGTTGATGTGAAAGTTGATAAAATGTGCAAATCTAAAACCATCATTAGTTTGTTAATCTGAACCCATTTTGTTCACACTAGTTTCTACTGCCTGCATATGCATGATAAATGTTTCAACGGCAAGGACTGATTGAACGATCAGTTTGTAACGTTAAAAATAATTGTGCAATTAAAGGCTCCATTTTTTGTTTTGTTAGATAGTCTTTTCTTTCTCAAGCATATATTTTGACACAGAATGTAATTTTCTAGAGGGTGCTGCTAAACCTGCCACAGCCAAGGGCAGAGGGCGACCACCCAAGGTCGCAAAATCAGTAGTGCAAGAAGGACAAGCTACTCTAGTCCCAATTCGTGCAGACCTTCTTCCTGGTCTTGCTCCAGCTGTAAACTCCGAACCAATCAAACTTGGTAGGCATTGGTCGTATGCCCAATATATTCTTGTTTTGTATTAGTAAGTGTTTCGTTGACCATTTAAGTTACAGAGATATGACTATCAAGCCTGTGTATATTTTTTACTTCTAAATACCTTTTTGAAAAAATTTGCATTAGACTGATTAGAAATAATCAATAGTATTTTTATTAGTTGTATATAATATTTTATCGTAGTTAGTAATTATTTTTGTGTTAAAATACCACCCAGTAAGAGTTTGTTGAATGTCAATTGTTTTGGTTTTAGAAAAATAGGCATGCAGCCAGCTGACATGCTTCCTGTTTTGTATTGGCTGACTAAACTTGACCTGTTGTTGTTCTTGACGGGTTCTTGTTGATATATAAAGAAACAGCTAGCCTTGACCGCACGGTACGATGTGTCTGCTGAGCGACTAGTGAATGAGTTTGCATTTCGCAGGGCTGAAGACCTCTGAGAGTTCCATCGAGAAGCTAAAGTGCTGCAAGTGTGGCTTCCAGGCTTACTACCAGCAGCAATACCAGGAGCACATCGTCACGCACCAGGGAGACGTGCACAAGTGCAAGTGCTGCAACTTTCACACGTTCGAGAGTGAAGAGTTGCTTCTTCACTTCATGGTGAGCAGACAACCGCTGCTGCGACGAAATCTTCTTCCGCCTCCATTCCTCCTTTTTTTCTCCTCTGCCATTGCTTCACGTTGTCTTGTGTTCCTGCCAAGGGTAAAGTGCAGGAGAGTTCTTGATATCTGACCACGGTAATTTTTCGCCGAGCATTGTTAGGAAGGAACTGTCTGTTGGTGTTAAGTGGGAATCCCCCCCCCACAAACCAGACCATTATAGTCTTAGCAACAGACTATGTGAGCATAGTTATAAGGAAGGAACTGTCTGCTAGTGTTTAGCGGGAATTCCCCCGCCACAAACCAGACCGTTATAGTCTTGGCAACAACAACACCTGCGCAGATGCACTCGTTCAAGCTCAGCTCAACTGCAATCTTTGTGCGGCATAGCGGGGGATCGGATAAAATGTGACATTTTTGAGCGATGCGACGGTATAATTTTTCTATTTAATGTTTTACAGGCAAATCATCCAAAGTGCATCTGCCCGCTGTGTAACTTTATGGCAGAGTACGCCTACATTATCAGGCGGCACATGTTTAGACACAGCCGGGCCGAGGCCGAATGCGAAATCTGTGGCAAGAAGTATAAGGTGCGTGTGTGCACTCTCCGTGTTGCGTGCCACTATTGCTTTACGATGTGTTGTACTACCTGATTAATTTTAGTTACAGAAAATTATGGTTGAATTGTGTTCGTGACTATGCAGACTTGAAGAGTGTGTCGCTATCTCATGATGTACTCGTGTTCCTTTCGTTGTTTGGTACTAATTCTCTTCTTTACACATTGCGATTGCATTTTTTTGCTGTGATTGTAGGACCAGTACATTCTGAAAATGCACGTCAAGCTAGTACACATGCCAGCAGACGTACTGTTTGAATGCACCATCTGTGGCAAGAAGTTCAACAGAAAAGCTCACCTCAAGCGACACATTCGCACGCACGACCCCGACAAACCGTACAAGTGTCCATCGTGTGACTACCGGTAAGCTAACCAGTAGATCTCATTAAAAAAGGCTGGCAGTGGCTAATGACTGACCTTTCCAGTGAAATGGGCATTGGTGTGCTTGTCTGATTGGTCTGTTTATCTGACCCTTCAGACGAACGGTCAACCTATGGCTTTATCTGAACGTCAAATTCTCTTTCTTCTTTTGCTTTCTCTTCTCTATAGAACCATCTAGCTGGCCAATTATGTCGTAGAATAGTTGAGCTGCTGATTGATTCATTATGTTGTAGAAATGGCAAGCTAATAACAACCCTTTACACAGCATTCACTGCCTCCTGTCAAAGTTTATGAAGCAAAGAGCCAGTATTCCAGTTTACTCATTGTCTGTTCAGGTCATGCTCTTCAGTTTCTTATTTAATTTACTATTGCATGTGTGAGCACGAATTTTTAGTGTTGAGCCATTTGTATTTTAAATATGTTCCAGTGGTTGTGAGAGGTCAGATGTGACAAAGCATTTACTGATCCACGACAACCCAAAATTCAACTGTGAACTTTGCGGCAAGAACTTTCGTCACTTCAAGAACTTGGATCTGCATATGAAAAGGTTTGGGAACAATGGCTTAGAGAAGGAGTGGTTTTAGTAAAAGGGGTCTTCTTAGTACACAATAAAAGATGAGATTGGTATTCTTTCAACTTTCAGTACGTGTGCATTCCCAATGAATTTTTGTAATAAATTCCCAACTAATAAAAAAGGTTTCATCAAAGATATTTAAATAATAAACAACATCTATATATACATATATATATATATTTATATATATTAATAAATGTTTTTCAGCATGAATAAAGCCTACACACACAGAGCAGACTTTTGGCATTCATATTTCCTGAGAAAGGAATGCACACTATCATTTTACACTTGATTAACCTCGTTGAGAGATTCACACGTTCTGTGTCTGATGCAGGCACAAGGGACAGCGCGATTACAAGTGCGGCATCTGCGAGTTCTACGGTTATACGTTCACCGACATTCGCAAGCACATTGAGCGCAAGCACGCCGATAGCAGAGCCCTCATCTGTGTGAACTGTGGGCTCTGCTTCAAAAATGTGCAGGAACTTAAAGTAAGTATGCATATATGCACACGCGTCGTGCGCTGTATGTTCTCGGTTGAGGTGTTTATCTCTGGCATGATGTTATTTATGTGATCCCTCTTTTGATTGCATGTTATGTATGTGGACATGCAGGCGTGTGTGTATGTGTGTGTGCGTGTGCGTGTGTGTGTGCATGTGCGTGCGTGTGTGCGTGCGTGCGTGCGTGGTGTATGCATGTGTGTGTGCGTGTGTGTATGTGTGTATGTGCATGCGTGTATGGTGTCTGTATGTGTGTATGTGTGCTCACATGTATGCACCTGGCTAAGCTCTATTATTGCTGTTAGGAACACGTTGCCTGCATGTGCGCATGTCTGCATGCACGTGCTTGCACATATCTACCCATAGCTAAGATCTATTGGTGCTTCTAGGATCACGTCGCTTGCAAATGCGAGTCGTTGGAGGTCGAACAAGTTACGGGTACTGGGGAAGACACGATGGACGTGGAAGATATACACATAGCCGAGGAGATCACCGATGAGCAGCTTGCTGGCCATATTGTCATAGCATGCTCAGATGGTAAGACATTGGTGTGAATGAGTGCTTCCTTTGAGGAGAGTGCGTGCAGCTATATAATCCAAATAATTATATGATATCAAGATCTCAATTGCCCATTAACCACTATGGGGTTAATCTTGATGATATATACCATTGACTTGCCAAGTTTGACAGATTGTCCAATATTCTGTTAATGTCTCTTAATTAAAAAAAAAATGGGAGAAGTACGAGGAAACGATGGCCATTTCTCAGAATACAATGATTATGGCACCGAATTGGATGTACATATGATAAACTTACACCCTAACCCTAACACTACAAGCAGTAATGAAAAGCATAAGGAAAAATTTGACTGGAAAAAAGTCTCAAGTGTGCAGATAACATGGAATGTGTCATGGGCTACTAAGCAGTAAAAATATGAAGATTGCATTTCATTATCTCAGCCTAGAGATGTTATATAGATAAGTAAAGAATCTTGTATTAGAGAGAAAAAATGCCTATTAAAATAAAAACGTTTTTAAAACTTGGTTACTAATAATAATGTAAGTATCGTTTTAACTAAAGTGTGGGTTTCTTAATTGTACACTCTTCATCAATAATCTACTTAAAATATATGTAATTCCTTTTATTCCAGATAATTCCAAGAACATACTCACACAGTCTGAGCTAACATCTCAGGAGGTCGTGGAAACTCTGGAAGGGGATGCAACACTGCAAAACCAGGTCAGCGCGCATTCGCATTCTTTTCCTTAACTGCGCTACATCGCAATGCGATCCACTTTCAGCCGATTCTGTTTTCTAATGTTATCTATTTTGACGATAAAACTGACGTTGGCAACCCTTTCCTGCAATTCCTTTTACCAACGTAAAAGCCTGTGGGGTGCGGATGATGTCGAGTGAGTTTTGCAATGGAGATGGCAGAATCGTAACGTACGTGCCTTACGACCTTAGGCCATAATAAAAATATTGTTTGTTTGCCCTCACCCGACCGACCCGCCAAAAAGGGGCCGACTCGAAAATTTTTTTTTGTATTGATCTTTTTTTCCTTTTTTTTACAAATTGTACCACTGTACATTATATAAATCTGTAGGCAATACATTATATGTACCAAGCAAAACAAACATTCAACATAAAAGGTATCTCCACACAAGCACACCCGAGCATGTAGACACCATGCTGAATTTGTAAAAAGACCCATTTAAAAAAGAGCCTACCTACCTACCCAAACATTCCAGCCTGGATCGGCAAGAAAAATTTGTCGGGTGAGGGCAAACAAAGATTTTTTTAATTGTGGATTAACGTACGTGGCTTACGACCTTAGGGGCTCTTTCCAAACGTAAAAGCCTGTGGTGCGCGGGTGATATCGAGTGAGTGTCGCGATGGCGGAATCATAACGTACGTGCCACGCGCGTATAGGTGCTGAATATCTCCGAGACGCAGGCGACGTCGGCGGATGGCACGCGGCAGATCATCGTTCACGAGGCGGACGGACAGATACTCGTGACGACCATCGACGGGGTGACGGGTCAGCTGCTCGTCGGTAGCGAGGACCAGGTGTGCAATGCTCAGGTAGACTATAGTAGACCAGGCTCACGAAATGTGCGTGCGTGCGTGCGTGCGTGCGTGCACGTGCGTGTGTGTGTGTGTGTGTGCGTGCATGCCTGCGTGCGTGCGTGCGTGTGTGCATGGTTAACATTTTCAATGCTCATACGTGCAATGCTCAAGTAACTGTAGGCCATGCTGATGAAATGTGAAAATGTGTGTGTGTGCGTGCGTGCGTGTGTGGTTAGTGTGTGTGTGTGCGCGCGCGTGTGTGCGTGCGTGTGCGTGCGTGTGTGCGTGCGTGCGTGCGTGCGTGTGTTGTTAACATTTGCAATGCTCATACGTGCAATGCTTAAGTAACTGTAGGCCATGCTCATGAAATGTGAAAATGTGCGTGTATGCATGCCTGCGTGCGTGCGTGTGTGGTTAACATTTTCAATGCTCAGGTAAACTGTAGGCCATGCTCATTAAATGTGAAAATGTGCGTGCGTGCGTGCGTGCGTGCGTGCGTGCGTGCGTGCGTGGTTCACATTTTCGAACTGATACGCGGTATAGTCGGGTGTAGATTAAGTGTGATCGATCAACATGGTAATTAGATGCACGGATTGGTGTCATTATTGTCAACGACAATAAATGTAAATAAAATGACTCGTAACTTGCTCAATAAGACCCGTGCGTACCCGGGGAGTACTGGGAGGGATAGGCGTTAGAAGGCAGATTTAATATTTCATGCTTGGGCGGTAATCCATCGGTAATGTTTCATTGTGGACGACTGATTCCTCGTTTGATTGCAGATATTAACAGCTGAAGAGTTTGAGAATTTATCGTCCGACACCATGGTAGTCGAGGACGAGCAAGGGAGCGAGGGCGTAGCACAGTACGTTGTAACTCGTGGAGAGAACGGGGAGGCTGTACTCAAGCTGGCTGTCTAAATACAGAGATGCCATCATCACAGCTGTATATATATATATATCACGCCGTATTCGTGCCTTGCCACCATCTTTTTATATTAAAAGCTTGATGCTGCTGCAGTAAACACCAACAAGTGGAATTGGTGCCAATGCTATGTTTGGCGTAGAGTTCTGTGAGTATGGGATCTTGTGCGAACACATGGTTCATTTATATTTTTGTTGTGCACTAACAGATTGTATACAGTTGTTCTTTAAATTATATATATATATATATATATATGTTGCATTGTAATTGTAATTATTAATCACGAACTGATTAAATGCTGTGACATATAGAGGCAAACAAGTTTTCAAATGTGCTGAACTGAATACCAAGTATTGTGTATATATATATATATGTATAGAAATATGAATTATTATATTAAATATCGCTACATTGATTACTAAAAACCTCCACGGTGTTATCTATTTGAATGTGTTTATTTAAACATCTGTCTAAATATTAAAATGGTTAATTGCTCGAAAATTTGGGCGTGTGTTGAACACTGCAATTAAAAACAATAAGCTGGAAAAATGGCGACGACGACGACGACGACGACAGATGAAACAAATAAAAACAATGAATAGAAACAATAAACTAGTTAGACTAGTGTCTCTTAGTAGATATACATTTCTATGGGTACGGCAGACGCTTACAGTTTACTGCAAAATCCTGAAGAGCGCACGGAAACTAAACATGAGTCAGCAACTAGCCTTTATGGTCCCCTCACTGACTTATTCCATTTCTCCATGGCGTGGCAGGGCCGTAGCCTCTGGGGGAGGGAAGGAGGCAGCTGCCCCCTAGATTTTGGAGCAAAATTAAAAAATAAGCTTAGCTAATAATCGTAAATAACCCTAAAATCAATGTATTATCATTACACAGTTGAGTCATAAAATTTTGCCCCTCCCCCTAGGAATTTGCTCAGTCTATTTACCCTGCGTGGATTATGTTTCCTGAGTTCACGCAGCACTGTACGGTACAACCAGTACTTGAGCATATACAAGGGCCGGCTCACGTTCTGACTGTTTATAGCATGAGTCTAATTAACCAAATTAAGCAGTATAAATATAATACGATGAATGGCCACTTGATCTTTGTTGCCGACCGTGGAAGGAAAACCGATAAGCGAGTTTCTGTAAGAGATAGCCCGCGGGTTACTGGTGAACACGTTAGAAACTGTTTTTGCTTGCGCCATGCCGACTGGTGTAATCACAGGCACTTTGAGCGTTTCAATAAAATATAATGCTAAATAAATACGAAATCTATTTTCTACCAAAGTCTTAATGTTTGTATACTCTCTTTCACCTATTATTGCCAACAATTTCCTGCAAATGCCGTCCAAATGCTCATCTGCAACAATTTGAACAAACGCTGGCTGCCGCCATGGCTGCCGCTGCACACTGACACATAAATATATAGTTATTTTTATTTTATTTATTTTATTTTACTTTTTGACTATATATTTATAGCATTAAGACTTTGGTAATGACTGCGGAGAAATTCCCTGTAAATGCCGTCCAAATGCTCATCTGGAACGATCGGGTCGCTGAGCTAACTAGGCCATTTTGTAAATCCTTGAATAAGTTCATTCGGTTGTTGATAATAGATATAACTTAGTTGATTTCTACCCCGGGGGGGGGCAATCGTCTCGGCATGGATAGAGAGTGCCTCGGGTACCTTGAACAGCTGACCCTGTTGAAACCGCTTGTGCGCCCTAAAATACACTAATGTCCCAATATACTGTCAAACATACAAGTGCCGCAGAGCAACAGCGCTCAACTGACGCAGGTGTTCTGATGCTAAACTCACTTGCAAACGAATGAAGACACCTTCCCATCACCGCGTTCGCGCACAGAGCATATATCTACGATAACTACTAAAAAGATCTAAAAATCTATGATAGCTAGGCTTTGCTATACCGGTAGTAGCAGTAATAAAGATCCAGCAGTGCAACTGTGTATGACTTCGCCTATATCAGGCAGGAGAATATAAAGGGGAATATTCCGTAAGATATTACAGAGTATAGTAATCTTTATAATCTATAAATTCTAAAGTAAATCTAAATCTAATTTCAGAGTAGAATAATAGAGTCCCGAGTGGTGAGAGTGCGAAGGCGTAGTGGTATGAAGGCCATTACACAAATCCTACCTATTTAGATCAGCGCATAAATGTATTTTAAGCGCGCGATTGAATTCCAGCCCAATCAGAACAGTGTTTTGTAATAACGCGTATTAAAATAGGGTAGTGTTTTGTGCGTAGTGTGTGTGTGTGTCGTGTGTGTGTTGTGTGCTGTGTGTGTGTGTGTGTGTGTGGGTGTGTGTGTTGTGTCCGATGCGTGTACATATTGTGCGTGTGTGTGTGTGTGTGTGTGTGTGTGTGTGTGTGTGTGTGTGCTGCGTGTGTGCGTGCGGTGTGTTGTGTGTGTGTGTGTGTGTGTGTGTGGTTGTGGGAGGCGTGGTGTGTGGCGTGTGTATGTGTGTGTAGGGGGAGAGGGTTTGGGTGTGTGAACCATCGTTGTTTGTGTGTCATAGGTTGGCTTAGAAGGCGCGCCTGGAAACGTTTGATGATCGTCATCCAATTACATGCTGTGTACCAATACAGCCATACCCACATATATGTGGCTGATTATCTCGTCTTACTACTCGCCCTGCGTACGGATGCTTTATCAGCGGGCAGTATATACGTATAACCATATTAAGCAATCATTATGTAAAGTATAGTCAGCAGCACTGACAGTGATTATAACAGTAGGTTATAATTGTGATTATTCAATATTACACATAAAACAATAGCATTACATGTCTATATAGGAACTTCGACAACGCGCACCACGCATAAATGTAATTTAATTAATAATAATACTTGATTTATAGAGCTGTGCACATTGCCTACATACAAAAAATTTTAAATGATTTACATAGCAAGCACGCGCATGGGTTTTAGTTTGTGATTCATTAGCCATTGCTTTTGATTGGTTGATTTGAGTTGCATGAGACATGAAATTATCAACGGCTTACGTTGCGCAAACGATCTATGTAACATGAATACGAATACGCTCCTATAGATAAGTAACGCAAATAACGCACACACACACAGTCACACACACACACACACACACACACACACACACACAACAGCACCACACACGACACACACACAGCGCACACACACAACACACACACACACACACACACACACAACACACCGCCGCACACCACACAGAACACACAACACACGACGCCCCCAGCAACCACACACACACACGCGCACGCACTCACGCGACGCACCACTGCACGCCTGACGCACGCACGGACGACACCACACACACACAGCCCGCACACACACACGGCACAAAAACGCTACCTATTTTAATGCGTGACGCGAATTAAAAACGCACTGTTCTGATTGGCTGGAATTCAATCGCGCTTAAAAACATTGTTAAGCGCGATTAAAATAGGTAGCGTTTTGGCGTAATGGCCTTGAGCCATAGGTGATGGGGGGAGAGGGGGGGAGGGGGCGGGTAACAGGGGGCTCTAAATAGCAAAAGCAGTTGCCCGCGAGAGATGGCGGCGTGCAAGTGTCATCATAATCAAAGATGGCACCACCGCCTTCGTGCGTGGCGTGATAACCTCACTCCATTGAGTTGCTGAGAATCCAAGTATATCAAGGGCATGGCGAGAAATTTCGCCAGGCTGTGAGTGTAACATCATCTGCATTGCACGGTTGCCACAGGCAATGCATTATTGATTGAGAATAGTGCCCAGTTCACCGCATGCATGGCCCCCCGCCGTAAAAATGGGCGCCCATGTTTTTCCCATTACCCACGCGAGCATTCAGGGTTCATCTACAGTGTGCTAATACAGGGTGCACTCAGTTGGTGCTAATACCAGATGGCTTTAAAAATAATATGTATTTAAGAGAGCCGTGAAGCCTTGTCAACCAAACATTTGCCTTTGCCAATTGATACTGTGGGCAACTGCTATCCCTCACATCCACGATAGAAAAAAGCAGTTTAGTCGGCTTTGTTAACAGTCAAGCAAATCCATTTTAAGTCCTTCCTCTTGAGGGTCAAAAGTATCCGACCACCTGACTCTTCGCAATGTCAGCAGAAAGGTACATTTCTATGTCCTTTCAATAAAGCCATAAAAATGCTAAGTCAGACCGGCTGTTTTTATAATCGCTCGGCGCTCCCGTCAGACCATGTCCTCGAAAAATGTACTAAATCTGCCCCTGCCCCATTGATGACCTTTGACCTGTACCTCCATTTCGGCACAGGTCGGCTTTTACTACCATGAATGCTATTACACACCCGGAACTATCACGAGCCTATGGTCGTAGTCGTTTAGATTTGTTGCCGCCAAATCTGCATTTCCTCCCTATAAACCTTTAGTTAAGAAGGGAATTGTTCCGCCCTTCTTTTACACGCTCTTGACCTTGACATTTGACGGCCC